TTATTTCAAAGTTAACTTCGTTCCACTGAACCTCACACTCCCAAGCAGTGGAGGGAGAGGATGCAGCCCTGAAAACAAAAAAAAAAGCACAAGTTTTTAAAGGAAAGATCATAATAGGGGAGGTTACATGCCCTGGCATTTTGGGATTGGGTCAGTGGGTACATGATGCAAGGTGATTTTTAAAAATTACTCATCAGGCCATTGGCGCCAACCCATAAATGGCTATCAGGATGTCTGTACATACATCTGGAAACTGTTAACTTCAGATAGGCTGCCAGTAGTACACCTGGAACTTACTACTCTGTCTTCTGATTGAATGGTGCTTGCTCACAGTTCTGCTGGCACAACACATTCCTGGCGACAGATTCAACCCCTGGTCACCAGGTGGTTTAAGATGGGGACCTCACTCTAGGACTGGCTCCTAGATTTCTGTTTTTAGTGCAACCATCTTTGAAAACATTTCAAAATGTCCTCAACTGCTTGGTTCTGTATCCAATTATTTTGTTAGTGGTAAATTATTTTGTCATGTCTGATCTGATTATATCTTATTATGTTTTATATTGTTGAATAAGGAAATATAATTTGTTAAGGTCTGAACTTACCGGATTACCTCAAGCCAGTATTTGGCCATGCCTTATTGCCAACACTTTTGTGTTTCTCTTCCTGCGTCCTGCACTGGACATTCTTCTATTGACCTACTTGTTATTGCTCATCAAGGTACACTAAACATTTTTTATTGGGAGCTAACATTTTTAGGGCCTCAAATTCTACAGCATGTTACTCAAACTTTTCCCATTTAGAACTTTTTAATATAACTCCCTTTTCCTTGCTCAATAAGAAAATGAAAGGAAGGAAGACTGGATCTCATAGTTGGCCACTAGTAAAACAATTCTTTTCTCCGGATCCTCCCTGGCCTTAATCTGTACTCATTTCACAGCATTTACCACATTTTGTGTAAATGTAAATTTGTATTATATATAAAGACCCTTTCCACTCAGTGAAGTTGTAAGTTTCTGGCTCTTAAAAATGGAAGTTCCATTTTTATTCTACATTTCCTAAGTTGAGGGTTATAAATATTATTTCACGTGTCACCTTTGATTTTATAGAAATATATGTACACTGGGTGAAATTTAGATTATGGCAATATAGTGTTCTGCACTTTAATAGCTAAACTGAAAGTATTCTTTTTCCTTTTACCTTCTCTTTTAGTTACTGCTGTGAAAACTCAAACTCAGGTCTTTATTTTGATATTAGGGTGTCCCACATGAGCACAGGCTGGTCTTCAGCAGAAGTCCTACATCTTTAGCCTTCCAGATGCAGGACCGTACACCCGTGCCAGTGTTCTACACAAAGTTTGTGAAATGTAACAAATACTTTCCCTAAAACATTACAAGTTCAAGCTTTACAAAGCATGAGGACTGGAGTTTGGAAGGGCCAGGAATCCTGGCCTCTGCCTAGCTGTGTCACATCCAAGCAGAATGGCAGAAGTCCAGCAGACATTGCTGTTTAGGAATGCTCCACAGATGGTGTTGATGAACGCTGGCCTCCTGGGCAGGTGGAAGCAGACCTCACGTCCACAGCAAAGGGAGAAAGTGAACAATCTAGCTTTTCTAAGAAGGGACAGATCACTACTGGAATTCATGTGTAAATGTGACATTTTTAAAAGGGGTATCTCATGTGCGTATAGATGAACAGGCCATATTCCCTCATTTACCATGAGGAAAGAATATAAAATTAGATTGACATGTGAAGAAAGCTTGTTTCTAATTTAAATAAAATAAAATTTAAAAAAAGAAGTCTCAAATAGACAATTTTTGTATAGTATTAGCTCAGTGGATAAACTGACTAATATACAACTCAATGTCAAACATCATTTCATTTGGATTACTTTGCTCTAAATGTCTCTAAAATGTTCTTTTTCCCCTTAATTTGGTTCTGGATTCATGATAAGCAGATGTTTTGTTTCTTAATATAATATAACATAGGAAAATATAATATGAAATATAAAAATAATGCAAAAGTGCTACTGTAGGCTCAGCGGCACTTGGACATTCATGGGAACCACCATTTTGACTTATGCCATGTAGATGGTGGTAAACTCAAATAACCTTGCTTATATTTATGATATAATTCACCAAGAGCTCATTCTCATGAGCTCAGCTGCATGGTAAAGCGAGCCTGTCCCCTGTACCACCTAATAGAGTTTTTAAATTTGTACAGTCCCACCCATGACTTTGATGTTTTAAACTACTGTCAGATCCAAAGCACAAGATGCTGCTTGGTGCTAATTTATTCCACTCAAGCATGGCAGGGTATGTGATCAGACAGATCTATGAGTCTCCCTGTTGGCTGAGATTACAGACCTTTGGAAAGCAGCTTGTGAAAGCAGATCATCCTAATTTAAATCCTCAGTTTCTTTGTATGGCACTGGTACCTAGTTCAAAGAACAGCTGCTGGGTGGCAGTGTGTAAGGCAGCCGGACTTAATCACACAAGGAGACTGTTTTAGTTCTTTCTACCACCTGAACCATGGTTCCCAAGGTTCTCTGAGGCAACTGCATGGAGAAGGAAAGAAAATGGAATCCTGTGCCCAGAAAGAGAAAATGGTGTGTTAAAAAGTTTATATTGAGTTCCCACACTGTTTTATCTCTCCTTAGACAGGACAGGGAGTGGGAAGAGGTAGGGTTGTGGGGAGTTTGTGGGAGGGAAGTGTGTTAAACAGGGTGAAGGAGCCTCTGAGCCAGCCAGAGGATTTGGGGGAATGTTTTCTTTCTTCAACTTCAGTCTCTTGGTCTCTCTCTTTCTGTTTCTCACTGTCTCTTTGTGTCTTTCTCTGTATCTATGTTTTCAAACTTCCCACTGCTGATTACCTGAATAATTTCACATTTATGCCAACACACCACTCCAGTCTTCATTAGATATTGCAGTCCTTTATCTTTTCAGTAGTTTTGATTTGGTTCTTGGTGCTAGTCAGTTTTGTTATCTATGTACAGAATATTTTTCCCTGTCTTTGACCTCTATATTCAATATGTAATTTGAGTTTGGGATCAATAGATTATGTGTGTGAATCATAATTTGGTATTTTTACTAGCCTAAGTTTGCCAAAGCAGTTTTGTATAAGTTCTTGCTACAGTATTTATAATTTTATATTTTAACTTAAAGTCTATCATCACTCTCAACCAGGTTCTGCCTATGTCTGAAGTTTAACAAAAAAAAAGTTTATTTTGGTTCTCATTTTTCTAATAAAATATTTCTTTCTTTTGTTTTGTTTCTCTTTTGCATTTTTTAATTTAACATAATTTGTTGAAAGACTTTTCAAGATTCTTTTTTATTTTTCATTGGTACATCTGTGGACACTCAGTTGATGGTCTGTACCATCATTTTAGACACTAAAATTGATCCATTTGTCTAATGCCTGTATGGGAAACAATCTACATCCCAATGCAGTATTGAATAATTGTAATTAGAGTAGAAAGCTTCTCTTTACTACAGGCCTAGGAAAAAAGTATTTAATGCTAATATTTTATAATATATGTATTTTAAAAACATTTTGTAATATTCTTTGTTAAGCAACTTTACTGTGACATAATTAAATATTATATATATATATATAATGAGCAATCAGCCCACTTTTAGTGTGTTCAAAGTTCTGTAACTATCAATATGATCAATTTTTAAAATATTTTACCACATACAAGAAATGCAACAATTATTAATAGTCATTGCCCATTCCTGTCCATTTTTTTTACCTAGCTTCTTCCCCAATCCTATACCTCAAGTAATTATATTTCTACCCAGACCCTGTGGCCAAGAATTGTAATTACTACTCATCTGTAAGCAGAGGTAGGAGGAATTCAAAAGCTGCCTGAGTTGCAGAATGAATTTGAGACTCTCCTTGGCTCTTCCTGAGGTAGATTGCTCATAAGACTCCTGCATGATCTTAAGGTCAATCTCTAAGCAACAAAGGAAAATAAAAAATGGCATTTCTTATTTTAAAATCACAATTTTTTTTCGAGACAGGGTTTCTCTGTGGCTTTGGAGGTTGTAGACCAGGCTGGCCTCGAACTCACAGAGATCTGCCTGCCTCTGCCTCCAGACTGCTGGGATTAAGGGCATGCACCACCAACGCCCAGCTTAAGATCACAATTTTAAAATATTTATCATTTATTAGTATAATACTTTGCAGTATATCTTACACTCTAGATTTTGAACATGATTTGATCATTATATCATAACTGAAAACTTCATCTTTTAGTTTTTAAATATTCCTTTTAGAAGATGACATGATTACTGAGCATTCTTAATCCATCTGTTTATGTGAATAGTTTAGGATTAATAAATAATTGCATGTTAGTTCAGAATTTCATATTGCTTGAGGTGTATATGATATAAGTGTGTACATATGTATGTATGATAGTCTTATTTTTCTTTAAATGTTCAAATATCTTATTTTCTCACATTAAGAATAAGTGTTTAATAGAACAAAATATTGATGAGTGATTTAGTCTCACATTTCCTAACCATATTTTTTGCAGAATAATACAGATATATGCAATGTCAAACAAATAAAAATTACATTTTATTTTTAAATAAATTTAATGTGTTAACTTTCTCCGTTTTGAAGGTCCTTGAATTTGTGGGAAATTTATCAATTTTAACTATTTGGAGAGAAAAAAAACCTTAGAATTTTTCTAGGCCTCTATAAACCTTTCACTTTGTTTCTATGAACGTGGTATATTTGGTTATTTGAAGAAAAAGTATTTTCATTGTACTATTGAACATGGCTCTATTTTAGGAAGTAGTACTCCTTTAACAGCGCTCTTAGATGGGAAATCCGAAATAGTTTCATGTGTTTTTTGTGTGAACGTGTGCAAATGTACACTTAATGTGTGGATGTATGCCTCATTACTTCCTAATAGCCCACAATCATTACTTATTCTTGATACAAATTATACATTTACAATGGCTAAATTCAGACTTTTTGTTGATTTTGTTTTCTAGTTCAACTTTGTTGGGAAATTGCTTGGACCAAGAGGAAACTCCCTGAAGAGGCTACAGGAAGATACAGGTGCTAAGATGTCTATCCTGGGCAAAGGATCGATGCGTGATAAAGCAAAGGTAGTGAGCTTTGAGGTTGCTTCTTAGCACACTGAGGGAGGCTACTGCAATACTGGGGCCTCTGTTTACAATGCAGAGATGGCTTTCCCTGTCCCTTTGCCTTTTCCTCTGTGGGACTACACTGCTGCCCATCCTGATGTTTCTCTCTCTCTCTTCTGTAGTCATTGTCCCTACCTCCTCCTCAAGACATGGTTCCTGCATCACCTTTTGTAGTTTTCTCTGTAGGTTGCTGTCATAGAGCTGAACTTTTTAAAAGCCCCGTGGGATGTTTTTATAGATTATTACTCTGTTTTTTTGATTCCCAAAGTTGGACACCTAGCAGTCACATGCGTTCTCTCATTTTATTCTCTCCTGATTTCACTTTACTTATTTAACTGACATTACTCCATGCATTTATCTGAAAACATAAGAAAATCATTATTAGGCCTTAAATGACCTCAGCAATATAATCACACAATACCTGACTCAAAGACAAGAACACATTATAAACATCAGGTTTGAAGTTTGTAAAATTTTATTGTACATCTGAGGTACTTCCCATTATATAAAGTGCTATCGTTTTTTCAGTGTTTGTAGAGGTGTATTCATAAGTAATACTGAAAAATTATTTGGTAAGCAGTGGAATGTGTAAAGTTGCATCATTTGACCAGACTATATTTTTATTATTTCATATATTACACTATTATGGGAAATGACAATGAAAATGCTTGGAAAAACATGTATGAGTTTTCTCTTTAAACTGTTAAGGAAAAAGTGTCACTAAACTGACCAATAATTTCTCGATTCAAAAATTATTTTATAATTTATAAATTTTGTATCAAATACTTAGACATTTATTATGACACCTAAATGGGCACTTTTTACAGTGGTACAAGAGTCAAGTCTCTAAATTACAAAAGTAATTATTTTCCTGATCTTTAATTCTGGATACTTGTGACTATAAACTTTCAGAAATGAATAAACTGTTGCCAGCCCCCTCCATCCTACTGACTTGACTGCATTTAGAAGAAACAGTGTAAATATTAAAGAACAGGTAGCTATGAAATAATCCCTTGCCCCTTGTCACAACCCGCCTTACATCTTCTTCATAAACAAGATAAAGTTTATACTCTTCAATCTATTTAAAAATAATCTTTAATACTGAGTATTCAATTGTTTGATATAGTACATACATGTGAATTTGCTATGTTCTCCCACTCTGTCGAATTCTTATAAACTGTTTACTTTCAAAGTTAAGGATTAAAGTAAGCATCCTATCCCTTGGAAGGTTTCCTAAACTCTGCATTATCTTAACATCTCTTTTACACTTATAACTCTGTATGCCTCGATGATGTCTTAACTCTCCCAGAATGAAAATGGCCTGATTAGCCTTATGCATCAGGGACCTCCACGCTATTTTCCTGCCTTCTAAAATAGATAGATGTCTATTTTTCATCTCTATATATTTAGAATTTTTGCTCAATATTGGAATTCCCTTTTCCCTGCATGCATGTTGGGTACCAGCAAAATTCTCTAAAAATACAATATGAAACATATTTGCTTCCATTAAATTTCTATTATGTTTAACTTGCTAAAGTAACATACTACTTAAAATTTTCTTCCTAATTAAATTATTGGTGACCCAACATAGTTGGATTTACTTGTAATGCTTCCATTTCAATATTAAATTAAAAATAAAATAAAGCAAAATGAAATGCTTAATAATAATGTTGTATCATAGAACATGTTTTCTCAAATCTAGGCCTTAACCTTCAAGTGCAATAGACACACTACCGAAACACAACCATAGACATGGATTTGAAAGTGTTTTTTCAGTAAGCATTTGATTAAAATAAAGATAAATTCTCAGGGCTGGAGAGATGGCCCAGTGGTTGGGAGCACTGACTACTCCTCCTGAGGGCTCATGATCAATTCCTAGCATCCACATGGCAGCTTCCGGCTGACTGTAACTGCAGTTCCAGGGCATTTGGCACCTTCACACAGACATACACTCAGACAAAACACAAATTCACATAAAATAAAAATAAATAACTTTTTAAATAAAGATAAATTCTCAAGAATTTATTGATAACTCCATTGCTATTTTGTCTTCTTTTAATATGAGCTGATTTCATTTGATTTTTCAAAATGTGTAAGTAAAGGTCATCTCTACATACATAGAAGTATGTATAAATTCAGTCATTTAATAGGCTTAAATACATGCATTAATTTCAATAGTATTTATTAATCATAATATGATCACCTTACAGATTAAAAATGTTTCCTGTTGTAATTTATATTCTGTTGAAAGGGCAGACAATGTATGATTGGATGCATTTTGAACTGTAATATTTTGATAATTTTTAGAATTAAGATAAAACAAGGCAAAGAGAAGGAATTAGGAGTAGTGGAAGAATATTTTGACATAGAGATCAAGATGATTGCTGGGGAACAGAGAGCCGATCATGAAACACATGGGCTTGAGAAAGAAGTGCCAAGCAAGATGACTCTGAGGGAGACTATGCACTGTCATCCTCAACCTCCCAATAACCGTAGCAGTGAGCAGAACCACAGTTCAGTATTTTTATTCTGCTTTGGGTGTAATCGGATTGTTAGCCCATAGCTATGGAGAAACTGACTGCAAACTGCTTTGCACTTGCCTCTCCTGTGCTCCTGGCACTTCCATTCCCCAGTCTCTGTGGATGTGTTCTCTTCATAGATGACTCCCAAGGTCTGTGATTGGTTTTTCGGGTTCCTTCTTCCTTTCACATACCCTATGATGTATACCCTTCTGAGCATAAGTGTTACTGTTGACTGTGTAGTCCCTTTTGTTATGGAGTTTAGAGATTTGTTATTTACCCATGTAAAGTGCCAATGTTAGAAGTATGATAGCAACTGAGATATAGTGCATGTGTGCAAGTCTCTTTCTCTCTCCTCTCTCTCTCTCTCTCCTCTCTCTCTCTCTCTCTCTCTCTCTCATGTATGTGTGCATGCATGCAAGTGCACAGATAAACAATGCTTGACTAAACATTAGTCAACTTCATTTTATTCTTTCTCAGTTTGCTTTCTTTATATATGTATCAAAATCAGTATTGCAAATCTGTTTTTTTCACATAGTTTTAGACTGCTTTCCATGCCCCCAAATCAAAGAGTTTATTTTTCATCATATCTCTGAGTTCTAAATCACTATTCTTCATTAAAGAAAGTATGGACAGGAACTCAGACTGGACAGGAATCTGGAGGCAGGAACTGATGCAGATCCCAAGGGGGTGTGCTGCATGCTTGCTTATACCTCTCTGGCTCGCTTAGTCTGCTTTCTATTTTTCCTTTTTATATTTAAATTAGAAACAAGTTTGTTTTACTTGTCAATCCCAGTTCCTTCTCTCTCCCCTCCTCCCCTGTCCTCCACCAACTCCCTATCCCATCTCCTTTCTGCTCCCCAGGGAGGGTGAGTTCTTCCATGGGGGATCTTCCAAGTCTGTCATATCATTTGGAGCAGTGTCTAGGCCCTCCCCCTTGTGGCTACAGCCTGTTTTCTTATTGAGCTCAAGACAGGATCCTGGAGGCAGGAACTGAAGCCAAAGGCATGGAGGTATGCCTCTTATTGGCTTTTCCTTCATGATTTGTCCAGTTAGCCTTGTTAAATGAACTATGACTCCCGGCCTAGGAGTGGCACTGCCCATGGTGAGCTGGGCCCTGCCACCCCAGATCAATCATGAATCAAGAAGATTCTTTTCCACAGACCAGTGTGGTGGGGACTTTTTCTCAATTTAAGTTCCCTATACTGACATAACTTTAGCTTGCATCAGGTTCCCCAAAAATTAACCAGCACACAATTGGTTGTTTTTTTTAACTGAAGAATAACTGAACTATAATAGGACAGCTCATGTGTACTTGATACAGATTTTTTATCTTTTTATTTAAATTAGAAACATGCATATTTTAAATGTCAACCCCAGCTCCTCTCCTTTCCCTCCACTGGCCACCTTGCTCCCAGCCCAATCCCCACATCATTCCCCAGGGAGGGTGAGGTCCTCCTTGAGGAGATCTCCAGAGTCTGTCATTTCATCAAGGGCAGGACCTAGGCCCTTCCCCATGTGTTCAGGCTGAGAGAGCATCCCTCCATGTGGAATGGAAACCCAAAGTTCATTTGTATGCCATGGTGAACACTAATCTACTACCCAAGGCCCCAGAGATTTCTGAGGCCTCCTCACTGACACTACATTCATGGAGTCTGGATCAGTGAACCCCAGAATGATGGCTGAGAGGCCAACAGGGGACTGATGCTGATAGATAGAAATTTTTATTCAGTATCCCTCCTATGCTTGCCCCATATGAAGATTCCACTGAATATTATTTAAATAAATCATCTACTTTATCCTTGTACAGAAATTGTCATGCAGAGTCTATTTTTGCCTTGAATATGCTATTGATATTGTGCTCAATGTATGTCTTAAGCTTGAATGTCATTTTATGATAAAATGAGATATCTAAATCAAGGAATAAGTGAATAATCTATAAATATCTATTCTATTCCAACTATGTTCTCAAGGACAAATTCAATACTGTGTTTTATTAAATATTAAACATCATCCCAGCTTTTACAACGGTTGCAATTTAATTATACAGCCTGACCTGTTTAATATTTTCCTTAAAAACAATTAAGAGAGGGTTGATTGTTTGGATAGCAGAAATATAGAATGGCAAATTGACTCAGATTTGTTTTAGTGATTGTATACTACCTTTAACCCTTTGGTTAAAAAGTTAGATTTTAACATTTATTCCAGAATCATTATAAAGACAATTGTGTAATGTAACAAACAGTTCTAGAAGTATGTCAGAAGTTTCAATGGGTATTTTCATTTTATTGTGTTGTTAGTGGTGACAGGGTAACACTATATTTATATCATTAAATTTTAACCAATAACCTTTGAGTAAAGAAAGAAAGCAAAGAAACAACAAAAAGCAAAAATAAAATGTGAAGGTCCAGGATAACATCTATAGTATGAATCCCCTTTCTG